TATTTTTTGTAATTCAACACAACGTGTTGAACTTTTAGCTAAAAAAAAATAACTGATCTTGGTTATTCATGTTATTACATTCATTCAAAAATGCGTCAAGATCATCGTAATCGTGTTTTTCATGATTTCCGTACTGGCCTTTGTCGTAATCTTGTTTGTTCGGACTTATTTACACGTGGTATTGATATTCAAGCTGTAAACGTTGTTATCAATTTTGATTTCCCAAAATTAAGTGAAACATATTTGTAAGTTTTATCGAGAAAAAAACCCAAAACTCATTTTTTTTTTTTGTTCTATTTTAAATTAGACATCGTATTGGTCGTTCAGGTCGTTTTGGCCATTATGGTATTGCTATAAGTCTAATAACATATGAAGATCGTTTTTCATTACATAAAATCGAACAAGAATTAGGTACAGAAATTCAACCCATACCAAAACAAATTGATCCATCACTTTATGTTGCTGAATATCAAATGGGTGGTGAAAATACAAGTGAAAAACAACAAGAAAATAATGGAAATGCTTCTGCTAATACAAAATCATAAATAGAAAGAGAACAAACAAACAAATAAATAAAGCATAGTCGATGTTGTACAGTTCTTTTCTTTTGTGTGCGTGTGTTTGTGTATTCTCTCTTTGCTCCGGTGTACAAAAACTAACATTGTGCACCGAACAAAACAAAAACAAACAAACAACAAGTTTTTTTTTTCTCTCTGTTTTTATTTCATTGTTGTCCGTTGTCTTGTGTTTATGTTCCTTTCCATTTTGATGCTTGTTTTATGGCTGATATTTTGACATTTGCGTAGTTTTTGAGAAATGATTTATGTTGTAATTGTTTTTTTTTACGATCTCATCTTTTGTCGAAAAAACAAAAAAGGAATCCGTTTTTTTTTTTTCTTTGTCTTGTATTATGATTCGTCTTTCGATGAGTATCAATTTTATGTATAGACAAAAAATACAACATTTACGATTATTGTTTCGTGTTTTTAACTTCATTATGTCTAAGACACAAAACATGTCTCTTTCTCTCTGTATTAGTTTCTTGATACTTTATTGTATATGTATGTTGTTTGGTTTTTTTTATGTTCGATATGAGAGAAGAGTGTCTGACACAGAATGAGAAAAAAAAGAGAACCGAATTTGTGCCATCTATAAACAACAATAAAATTATTTGAAGATCTTATCACTTGAGATAATGGATTTTTCTTTTCTGACATAATTGAAATAAAAGAGCGATAATGATTAATACAATTAGAATTTACATAATACGATAATAACTAAAGTTGATTGGACTTTACATACTGAAAGAATTTGTGGTGATGATGATGATGACGCCATTCATATTTTCAATAGAAGAAACGTGACAACGCTAAAAATCTATGGATAGAGTTCGGCAATAAATGTGAAATATATCTATCCGAATCACGTAGCCTGTTCATATAGTAATAAAGTTATACTTGACTTTTACGGGTAACTAGAACTTGATTGCAATGGATTCTGTCTATACGGCAAATTCTTTTTTTTGAAAACCTCTTCTGTAAGTTCAAAAAATATAATCAGCACCCGCGCTGGCGAGGAGGGGGGTGTACACCACCCCAATAATTAAAAATTTTTGTTTTTTTTTCAACGACGGGAGCTGATTTAGAACAAATTTTGTTTTTTTAGCAAATTTTGCTCTAAATATCTTTTTACCCCCCCCCCCCAATTTTTACACTCTTTCAAAACCCGCTACACCCCCACCCCCACCCCCAATCTTAGACCCCTCGCGCAGGCTCTGAATATAATGGCATATTTTCTTTAAATCTCAATACATTTATTATAAGCATGAAATTTATAAAAGAACTATTTTACAAGGCTTCAGTTACTTTACTATACATATAATGTATAGGGCTTGTATTAATAGATTTCTTGTCTGTGCTAGTATGTTTTCTTTTTTTCAAATAGAAAAATGTAAATGTGTCGATTTTTTTTTACAAAACATTAAATTTTGCCTTTCATCAATCATCATGATGTTTTATCATAATTAAATATAGACTTTTCCTATGACTAGTTATCAATGATATTCTAACAGTTATGAATAAGAGATTGATTGATACAATCAAAAAGATATTGATGTACAAAACTCGTTTTCTATTCATTATATTCTCATTTGTCCACATATTATGTACAATAATGAACAGAAGAATTTATTTGGTCTATGTATATCTAATCAAATACAATACATCACGCATCAATCTTTTTTTTTCTTCTTCTTCTTCTCTTCTATCTTGTCTCTTATAAGTTC